AATGCGTGCATCCCTGCGGGATTCCTAGCTGTTCACTTTACCTACCTACGGGGGGTGAGGCCCCTGGGCCCGATGGGTCTCATCTTCTAGCTGGGCTGGGGGAACTACTTCACGGGTGGAGGTTGCCGTGCACCATAGGAGGACATCGGAACTGCAGTCCTCAAGCGATCAGTGAGTGTGGATGGGATTCCCGTATCCGAGCTATGATTTGTGGTGCGGCAAGGTCTGGAAGGTCCTGGATTTCTTCTTAGTCTCGCCAGGGCTTGCAAGTTCTGTGATGTGTGTTCGTCGCGGCCGGGTTTCAACCTTGAAGCCGCACTGGGCGGTGCATCTTGTCATGGGGCACAAGGAAGAGTTTCCCTCGAGATCGAGCTGAGCTGCCCTACGGGCCTCCGACAGAACCGGTGGAATGGGGTGCCTTGGCTGAGAGGCTCGAGGGAGCTGATGGCCCAGGGCATCTTCAGCATCATTTCGATGTCTTCTTCGGCCTCCACGAGGATGAGATGTGCAAGGCTGTTTGCCTTGGCCAGGAGCTCGGGGGCGCATGCCGCGGGCGGGCCCTCGGGGGCCAGATCCAGAACGTTCCTGAGATTCAAACCGCTGGAGGGCCTTGCCCCGTGGGGTGTTCTCGGTCTCGGGGCTGGCGTTCGCTTCGCATGTGGCTCATGGCGCTTCATCATATCAAACAGAGGGGTGTCTTGGCTGGGGATGGGTACCCGGTGTGCCCTTAATGATCGCCCGAGGCCCCCCTACCCTGAGGAGTACCCGGGAATGGGCAGACTGGAGCCCGGGGCGTGCAGCTCTCGAGGGCTCTTCTGCTCAGGACCTCTACCACTGGTCGATCGACGCAGGCGAGCGGGCCGACCAGCTCGAGCGCGTGCAGGTGTCTGCGCGCCAGTCTGCTTGGAGGAGCTGGGTCAAGGAAGGGGTCCATCGGGGTGGGTCCCCGCCAAGTCTTCGACCCCTGACCAGGCCCCTCCAGGACCTCGTCAAGCTTTGAAAGACCTGACTTCTGAGTGGGAAGGGATGTGGAACACTCCGGGAGGGGAAGTGCCAGATGAGGGGCCTACCAGAAGTTTGAATGACATCGACTCGCTCAGCGAGGAAGAGTACCGCCAGTTGGTCGCATGGGAGCTCGACCCACGCGCCATCAG